TGAGAATATAAAATAATTATCGATTGTTAATATATACCAACTTGAAAATTTAAACATGCCTAAATTAAAATATAGTGCATAATAATATGTATGAAGGTGCACATGCACTTTTGCTATACAGAACCTACAAAAGTGTATACTATATTGACTATCGTAAAAAACATATAAAGTGCACTTAACTAATGGATTAAGGTGCATACTATTGAGTTGTAGTTATGATGCACCTTTGAAGAAAAAAATGTGCACAATGAACGATTTTTAATAATTTGTGTATAAGATGCATATAATGCAATTTAAAAGTTAAAGTGCATATGGTTTAAGTGAAAGTGCACCGACTTAATAAAAAAATACATTTTATAGGAGCTAAAAAGTTCATTGTTATTGCACTTGTAAGTACAAATAGATGCACTTAAATAAAATTAAGTGCAAGTACTTAATAATAAATAATTTAAAAGTTATTTTATTTTGCTACGGTAGATGAAAATTGAACATTCCAAGTTTCCAATTATTTGTTGCTAAATAAAGATCATGTAATAAAGGAAAGTAAAAGGTGGTTGATGTTAGTATGAGTAGACTTTAAATTAATAGCATAGCTCCTTACAAAAATACCCTTGATGGAATTTCTAATTAGAATAATATTACCTACCATTAAATTCTTTCCATTAATAAGCTAAGGTGATGTGTAATATGTGTCTATATTTATGATCATTCGATTGATTGTGTGAATGGCTAGATTTTATTCTTATTTCTCTCCTGGGCCATCATTCTCACCGGAACCGTTCCCTATATATATATATAGGGGATGGTTCAAATAAAAAGTGGTCTTAACGTGCAAAGTGCAAAATTTGCACTTTTTCATGTTTCGCTTACACTTTTTCTTGCTTTCGTTTCACTTTTTCGCGGTAGCTCAAAAAAATTGGTTTATTTACAAAACTGTCACCGTCATTTTGGCCGAATTTGGCCAAAATCAAAATGGCCAAAAAGTGCAACGCAAACAAGCAAAAGTGCAACGCAAACAAGCAAAAGTGCAAGTGAAACATGAAAAAGTGAAAACTTTGCACTTTGCACGGGAAGACCACTTTTCATTTGAACTCTTCCCTATATATATATATATATATATATATATATATATATATATATATATATATATATATATATATATATATATATATATATATATATATATATATATATATATATATATATATATATATATATATATATATATATATATATATATATATATATATATATATATATATATATATATATATATATATATATATATATATATATAGGGAAGAGTTCAAATGAAAAGTGGTCTTCCCGTGCAAAGTGCAAAGTTTTCACTTTTTCATACACACACACATTAGTCTAATATATATATATACACACACACACACACACACACATTAGTCTAATATACATATTCCGTATTACATTAGCTGCTGCCCACATTACGATTTAGTTTAATAAATCCGAAGAAGGATCCCTAGAAACCCTAGAGTCCACACACCGCAGAGGATTCAAGAAAAAGTATGTCCAGTTGCTAAAGCCATTAATTTTACTCCTTATTCTAACACTACGTATCTTGCAAATTATAAATCAACTCAAAATTGTTGCGTTTGATTGAGTAATTACAGACAAGTAATTACAGTTCATGTGCCATAATGTTGCCAGAAAAGTACTCAGTGGTAAGAGGTTTTGTTTTTTTTTAAGAAATTAGAATTGGATTTTCGTGAGACGAGTCGGGTCTACCCGACCCGATTCTGAGACCCAATGGGTATGGGTCCGGAACATTAGTTCTAGACCCGCCGGGTATATGGGTCGGGTCTGGAACCCTATAGAGGCGAACGGGTCCGGGTCTGGGATACTACGTTCTGGCCCGTACCCGACCCGTTGACAGGTCTACACTCATCCAAGTGAGCATCCCTTGTTGCAGTCCCAACTTCAACCTTTTGCTGCCTTTGTAACCCTCTTATTTTTCTTTGAGAGGCGTTGGATCTGACCATGAATCCAGATGTATACACTCGACTCCGAAAGTTGTATTTCTCAGACTGTTTTAACTATATTTTATTTTATCGGGTCAAATAAAATATAACACATGTTCTCAATCCTTATTGGACCTTAGAATGAATAAACTTTTCCCAACTTTAATTTAGAAGTCCTCGAAATTCATTTTCGAGCTGTTATCTAATAAAGTGTCGATACTGATAATCGGACCTCGTTTGACCAACCGGTCAACCCTATGCCTTTGCTACGGCCCAACTAGGATATCCACCATCATATACATATTATGTAGACCAAGATGAATATAATATGAGGCCTCGAAAATATCAGATGACCCCCGTTCCCGGTGTAGGCCCCCGCGTGCAATTTACTATTCACGCAAAAGAACTAACAAAAATTTACAATCACGTAAACTCATAAATCATACTTCAAGGTTTATTACATTATTTACTAAAAAGTAAATCACTTGGGGATGGTGTTACACAAATCGGCGCTGGTTGCTTGCCATGCAAACGGTAAACGCTCCGTTGACCTGCAATTTCAAATCCAATTTTATGAAACTTAATCACAACGTGTATTAAGTCATAAACAATCATTTTATGCCATTTTGACCATCCAAAACATCACATATGTTTTATATGCATTTTAAATCATTTACATGCATATTTCAATAGTTAAATTCATACAAGCCTAATCATCTTGGCTAATCACATGCTAAACACTTTTTAACATCATAGTGAACACATATAATATTTATAAGATATTAAGCTGTCAGCTAACCTCGAATGAGCTTTAAGAAGTTCTGCCCTCTTCAGTTGAACTCCGGCGAAACTCCGGCGAACTTCATTGAACTCCGGCGACTATCTCAACTCCGTGAGATTACTAGGAACACCTTAGACAAGTTGCTAATAATGTTTTAACATCCTAAAACCCATATTAATACAAATAACCTCTAAAAGGTCATTTTCCGGCGAACCAGTAACCTTTGACTTCAGAGTTCATTCTTGGACTTGAAACCACCTTCCAACCCCTCACTCTACACTCCTAAGCTTGTAGAATAGTTATAGGGGTCATCCATATGATATATAAGTCATATGATAATACATGGAAGAAGAAAAGGTTAACGGAACCAATGCCTTAATTTCTCGAGCTATTCCTCACTCCTTTCTACTCAAACTCTTTCCTTGGACCTCCCTTGATATTGAACTTACTTCTATCATTGAAGAAGATTAATTGCAGAAATTCTTCCCCCTTCTTTGTGAGTATTGGTCAAAGTGATGGAAGGGAAGGAGGTAGGGAGGACTTCTGTTTGTCTTGCTTCACAAAATAAGTGTGGGAGTGAGGTCCACACTTATTTGATCCCAATCCTTTCAATTCAGCCCCCCATTTCACCATGTTGTGTGGCTATCTCATGTCTAATGTGAGACTTAAAAATGTGGGGTGGCCCCCAATCATGTGGGAGGTCATCTCTTTGTGTCCCGAACTGTATATTCTGTCTCGAAAGTTGTATTTCCCGAATTGTTTTAATTAATTTCATTTAGTCGGGCTAATTAAAATATATGTTATTCTCCTAATTACTATGAGCCTCTAAAATGAATATACATCCATCAACTTTAATTTAGTAGTCCCCGAAATTTACTACGAGCTGTTATGTGACAAAATACCAATAGTGGTATATGGACCTTGTTTGATTAACCGATCAACTTTATGTCGTTCATATGCCCCAACATGAATATACTATATACTCCATCATATAAATATGATCCAGACCAAGATGAATATAATATGTGGTCATGGACTAATCGGGTGCCCCTGTTCCTGATGTGGGTCACACGTTCATTTTACTATTCACGCAAAACTAATTCAAAACCATGCAAAATATACATATTTAGACTGACCAGTGTCAGTTCTACCCTTGACCGGCACCAGTTCCCATTTTTTATCAAAATCGGACATCAAACCTGAGACCAAAGCGGCGCCGGATCAAGGCCTGACCGACGCCAGTTCCCTATGTTTTTCTTGTGAATCGGTCTGGCAGAGACCAAACCGGTGCCATAAAAATATAGTCAGCACATAGGCTGTAGACCCAAGTTGACTTTGTTCCACCTTAAACCACAAAAATAGTTTAATGAGTTGGGAGTGTTTCTATTGAATTTTAATTCAACCCTTTGGCCGTTTGATCCTATACATGTTCTATGAACCAAATAAAAACCTGAGTATTTTCAGACCACGCCAATATTAACAACACACTATTTTTCGCAATAAAATTCTCTGATCACTTTACATTTTCGTATTAGTTTTATTTCCTACTTGAGTACTGTTCTTTTAGAGCTTTCCTAAAATGTCGACTAGCGTCCATTATTTACCGAGAGTTGGCATTTCATTATATGTATTGACTTTTGTAGTGTTTTTTCCATTTATTTGTTTGGTTCTCTTTGTCCCACAACCAAAGTTCTTACTTCATCCCTTTATTTCCCTATGGACCTAAACTCTCCAAATTTTGTATGTTGTACACAGATGTGATTTATTATTAATTTCCTTTTTGTTATATCTATGAATGATTATATAAAATTTATATACTTATCTCTACATTTCTTAAAACTTTGTTATCTTTGAACTCTTTGATCAACCAAGTTAAAAAAATGATATGAAAAAATTCTATGCTAAAAGTATTCTTAAATCCCATAAAATTCTTCACATTTCTTTTTGAGACGTCCCAAAAAATTCTTCCATTTCTTTTTTGGAATATTTTGTGTGACTAACATTCATTTACATTTTTCTTACTCAACCACAACTATGTGTTTTCACTTTATTCTCATTTTTTAAAATCTGATCCAAGTCAATCCAGTAAGAATTTAATGGGACGGAGGGGGTACTTTTATAAGAGTATAAAAGCTAGAGCTTCGTAACATTATACTACAACCTACGTCCCAAATTAATTTGTAAAATTGACTTTTCTTGATAAACCATTTTCATTTTATTCACTTTATTGGGGTGTCAATTGTAATTATATTATAATTTCGAATTTGTAACTTTAAAGAGATTTTGATATAGTTTTTTTAAATACATAAATTTTAAGCAATTATGAGGATTGACTGAAAACCCCGCACGAGTAGCTCAATTGGTCAAGTGGTGGGAAATTTGAACCAAGTGACCAAGGTTCGAAACCCGCGGCGGCCGTGTGAAGGTTACAACTCCTGCGTGCTGGGCTGGACCTCTGGTGCGCACGGATATAAGGTCTATCATCATTGACTGACTGGGTCATCGTGATTAACATCCTCCCTAAAATCATATCGGGTCGGGGTATGTGGGGCTTCTGGGTGTGAGATTCCACCTTCTTTTACCGAGAGGCGTGACTGAAAAGTGAAAGATAAGGTTTTGGAGGCGGGAGTAACTCGTTTTTTTTGTAGGCATTTGAAAGATGAGATAAGAATATTTGTGGCTGGGAATTCTTTCCGGCAATGGCAGATGATAGTCCGTCCATTTTCATTGTTCTGTTCATTCTTGGTGTTGGCGAATTTGTTCGACAAACCAAGGTATCCCGCCTCTATCCAAGGTATTGATCTCATCTAATCTCTCTGATCTGCATCCTAATATAGAAAAGGTAGAGAAGATCAGAGTACGTATTTTGTTGCATTGGGTCTTCAATTCTTGGGGGAGGAGATGGCGGAAAGCGGTGGTTGGCCTCCAAAGCTGCAAGTGCCAGGGATGACTAAAGATCGTTGCGAGGCGCAGATACTGCTGCACTCGCCGGGGCTATGGGGCGACGCCTCCGACACCTACCAATATTTCTTCTTCACTTACACGCTCCCTCGTCTCCTTTTGCAAATCTCTGTCATTTTCGCCCTCACCCACTCCCTCTATCTCCTCCTCAAGCGCTTCCGTTTGCCCCGCATCGTCTCTGAGCTCCTCGCGGGGATCATTTTGGGGCCAACCCTGCTGGGTAAATACAGGCTCACAGAAATCTTCATGTTCAGGCGAGAGGGAGAAGGCTACGTGGATTTACTCTCGAAAATCGGCTACATCTTCTTCATATTCCTCAGCGGAGTGAAGATGGACCCTGGAATGATATCCAGGACAGGCTCCAAGGCGTGGACAATCGGGGCCGTCGCCGTCATCGTCCCCTACACCGCCTTTCTCAGCTTCAGCGAAAACATCATCCAGAAATACCCCCAGATCCACAGATACCGGTGGCCGGCTTTCGGGAGCATTCTGGGCATCCAGAGCATCTACGCCTTCCCCGTCATCGCCTTCCTCCTCGTGGACCTCAAGATCATGAACTCCGAGCTGGGCCGCCTCGCGCTAGCCACCGGCCTCATCACCGACCTACTCAGCAACCTCATCTCCACCGTCATCTCCAACATCAAGATGGGCACCATGGCCGCAATGCCCGTCCTCTCCGTCCACGCCTTCATCCTCACCCTCGCCCTCGTCTCCCTCTTCGTACTCACCATCCGCCCCCTCTCCTCAGCCATCATCAAGCGCACCCCGGAGGGCAAGCCCGTAGACACCGTCTACATCATTGTCATCTCCTTTATGGTCTTCTGCTCCTCCATTCTCACCGACAACGCCGGCCTCAACTTCCAATACGGCCCCTTCATCCTGGGTCTGGCCATCCCGGACGGGCCACCGCTCGGGTCCACGTTGGTGGAGAAGTTGGACACCATCGTGTCCGGCCTTCTAGCCCCCCTCATGGTCACCTATTGCGGCACCAAGGTGAACCTGGTCGACATGTACGACCTCCAGTTCATATTTTACGTCTGGCTCACCCTCCTTCTCTGCTACGCTGTCAAGTATCTCTCCATCTTCTCCCCGGCCGTGGCGTGCAAAGTCCCCGTCAAGGATGCCGCTTCCCTAGCCTTCATCCTCAGCACCCAAGGAGTGGTGCAACTCTCCTTTTACCTCAACAACATCATCAACCAAACCTACGACGCGGAGACCTTTTCAACGCTGACGGTGGGGGTCATGATCACGGCCGCCGCCTCCCACATCCTCGTCGCCTCCCTGTATGATTACACGAGGACGTATACGGGTTACCAGAAAAGAGACATCCAGCACATCTCGCCCAACTCCGAGCTCCGGATGTTGGTGTGCGGTCATCGATTGGATGACGTTGTGGCGGTAAGGAAGTTGCTACAACTATCCTCTTCTTCCCGAGAGAGCCCCCTCTCGGTCTACTCACTATTCCTGGTGGAGCTGGTGGGGCGTGCCACCCCTTTGCTGATTGACCACCAGTTGGGGCAAAAGAACAGTGGTGGCGGTGCTTCTTCTTCCTCCCGCTCCCAGAAAATGGTCGACGTGTTGAGATGGTTGGAACAACAGGATGTGACGGGGACCACCAGCGTGCAGTTCTTCACGACCATATCGCTGCAGAAGTTCATGCACCACGACATATGCTCCCTCGCATTCGACAAGCTCGCAGCCATGATCGTCCTACCCTTCCACCGCAAGTGGAACCAGCAAGGGAAGCTCATCCAGGAGAACAACAGCTTGAGGGTCATGAACAATTGCGTCTTGGATATGGCCCCTTGCTCTGTCGGCATTCTCATAGACCGCCACAAGATGATGACGTCAACGCCCAAGAGTATGACACCATCGGTGGCGGTCATTTTCCTTGGAGGGGCCGACGATCGGGAGGCTTTGGCCTACGGCCGACGCATGTCGAGGTCGCCTGCGGCGGTTCATCTCTCGGTGGTCCGGTTCGTGCCGTGGGACCCGGATGCGGCCGACACCCAGTGGGACGCGGTTCTTGATGCGGAGCTATTGAAGGAAACCCGGCTCGTGGGACAGCACCAGGACAACGTGGTTTACAGAGAAGAGAGGGTGAAGGACGGCGCAGAGACCGCTCTCACAATTCATGACATGGAAGAAGCTTTTGAACTTATCTTGGTGGGGAGGAGACACCGAGATGATTTGCCCCAGTTGTTGGGGCTGAGTGAGTGGAACGACATCCCAGAATTAGGGCCCATTGGGGACATGCTCGCTGCATCCGAAATTACCTCACCTGTCTCCATTCTCGTCGTCCAACAACAATATACCAACACAAATAAATAATTAGTACGTAATAATGAAATCATCATACAACTTGTCATGTAATATATAGACTAGTTAGTGGAGAAAAATGTGACATTTTATATTTTAGCTATTATAATGGTAGCCTAGGTGATCATGGTAATGTTCAATTTTCATTAATATTTAAAATTTATTTCATTAATATTTAAAGAAAAACCCTCAAGAATAATTCAATAAACAAATAATGAATCAATCGCTAAATATGTACCTCTAAAGGTTGGCCTACTCGTCGCTACTCGCAAATTATAATATGGGATTGCGAAACTGTGCACATAGTGTACCGGTCCTAATACGGCACCATTCTATGAACTTAAAAATAAAAGCAAGGAAACCAGCACTTCTAACCTAGCTGGATGAGCGGTTACCCTTGCATAGGAGAGGTCTCGTGTTCGAGTCCCACTAGCACCAGTGGAACTATGCTCCCCCAAAAAACCCTTCAAGTGGTAGGGCCAAGCGGTGTATACTAACCCGTAGGGCCAAGCCAAAGTTGGGTTTCTGGGGTAAGGGGCCGTGAAAGCGGTGGAGCTAGTCACTATAAAAAGTTTACCCATACATTAGTTCTCTCAAAAATCTTGTCGGGTCGGGGTATGGGGGGCTCCTGGGGTGGGAGATTCCACCTTTTGGACCAAAAAATAAAAGCAAGGAATTCATCTTCTTCTACAAATCTACAATCATGTATTCCTCTGCTTCGTCGACATGTCCGTCCGTCTACTCAATTCCTCATGTTTGCCTAGAGAGAAATCTTTTAAGGAGAAAAAAGAAAAAGTGATATGTAAGTAGGGATGGACTCGGCCCGAGTAAACCAGCCCGTAACCGGCCCGGTACTGTTACGGCCCGGCCCAGCCTGGTACCCGGTCTTGTGCCCGGTTCGGGCCACCCGGTCCGGTACTGTTACGGGGCGGTTCTCGGGCCTCAAAAAACATGAACCGGCCCGGTTAGGGCCACTTTTTTTTGGTTTTTCAAAATTTGAAAAATGCAAATGGGTTAGGCTGGGTGTTTTGGATGGATTTGGGGTGTGGGGGGTAGAAAGTAATTAAAAAATAAAAAAATAAGAAACCGGCCCGAACTGGCCAGGGCCCGAACCGAACCCGGTAGCAACCCGAGCCAGTTCTGAGCCTCATTGCCTCAAGATTCCCAAAAAAAGCCCGATCAGGCCCAGCCCGAAGCCCAATCAGGCCCGGCCCGAACCGAGTCCATGGCTATATGTAAGACTATTTCACAAAGATTTGTGAAAGGTGAGATTTATGATTTAATGGTTTGCAAAGAAAAGAATAAACTGGAAGAGTTAAATGAAGATTGAAAAGTGAATAGTCATAAATGAAATGAAAAAAAAAAAAGTTGACATAAATGATATGTGATAGTGATAGGGATGGCCCACGGCCCCGGTACAGGCCGAGTCTAATATACCTGAACTGGATTTTCTTGGGTTGGGCTCCGGATCTCCAAAAACTGAACCGGCCCGGCGGGGCCAAGCCTGGTCCGGGGCAAAAAATATATTTGTTTTTCAAAATCTTTGGGAGGTAAATGAGTTTGGTGTTTTGAAGGGGTTTGGGGGGTGAGGGGTGGGGGTAGGAAGTAATTAGAAAAAAAAATAAGGTACCCACTCGGCCAGCCCGACCCAGACCCGATAGCTACCCGGGTCGGTTCCGGGTCTCAAAAACCCCGGACTGGCTCGAGTCCATCCTTACATAGTGATACAATAAGAATGGACTGTGCAGGTAATTTCCACATTTCTCTTTCACATGTGTTGTACACTTGTACTTTCCGCTAAAAACCCAAAACATAACAGAAAACCAACCATGTCGCAACGGTAAACATTCGATTCATGTAATACGGCATAACGTATAGACGAAACGGATCAAGCATAGTGAGCCCGCTTTAGTTCATCCTCAAACAATCATCAACAATACGGAAAAGACAAGAGCAGATCATCTAATACAATTAAGACAGGGACAATGAAAGGCCCACAATATAATATAGGGAAAGTTCCGAAAATAGGATTAAAACAGTTTGAAAATTCCAAAATAGGACTGTCATGTTTTTTATTCACAAAATAGGACTAATTACTGCCATGTTTAGAAAATACTACCATGTTTGAAGTCTACTACTGCCAAAACATGGCAGTAATTAATCCTATTTTGGGAATAAAAACATGGCAGTCCTATTTTGTAATTTTCAAACTGTTTTAGTCCTATTTCAAGTAATATTCTCTATAATATAATTTGACAAAATTATATTATTCTTAGAAGTGAGGTTGTGTGACCACTCATTATCTTGAAGTGTGTCTGTGTGTGTATATCAGATACAACCCATTCTCCGTATATTCTTTTACCAAATAATATGAATATACATGACTCCATCCATGAATGCAGCCAAATAAATAAATAAAACACGGAACCTCAGTAGAGACATTCACGCCCAAAACCTTGTTGGCTAGTATATTATATATAAAGAAAGATTTAACACAGCTTCTTTGACTTCAGTTTCTTGTCCATCCAATTGATTATGTCCTGGGCAATCTCTTCATGCTCAGGCTCAAACAAAAGGTCGTGTAAAAAACCTTCATAGAGTTTAATGTCTTTGAATGGAGAAGAAGACTCGTTGTACAAATCCTGAGAAGCCAATGGATCCGTGACCCGATCAGCCGTCCCGTGAAGCACAAAGAAAGGCACTCTGACAGACTTCAAGTTGCGCATCAGGTATGAGGTGATACGCAGAATCTCATGCCCCGTTCGGATCCTCAATGGCCCTGTATAAACCAAGGGGTCAGAGTACTTCGCCACGAGTGCTGCTGGGTCTCTTGAAACCGGTATTCCCCTTTTATGGGACCCCTTGAACTGGTATCTCGGCGCAATCAATGAAAAAAATGGTGCTACAGCCTGCATGTGAATTAATAGTGCCAACTGTGAAGGTGATTCTGGTGGTTGGCATGTTAACGGAAAGGAGAAGGTCAAAAAATTTGGAGAGCGCAATGCTTAGATGACAACAATGTTCTAAAACTCGGCCTAGGCGGCGCCTAGTCACTAGGCGGCCATGTAACTTGGTGATTAAGCTTACATCGGACATCAAAGTCGGTCCGCAGATTAATCGTCCGACTGCAGTGCCTAATCGGGCGACTACTGCTCTAAATCAGCCGACTTCATCGCAAAATTACGCCACTCCCTTCTACAGCCGCAAAATCTTTTCCTGTAGCTTACCTCCTCATCTTCTCCCTCTGTACGTGAGTCTCTTCTTTCGTTCTCTTCAGTCTTCTCCGGCCGCCCACAACTCCAGTAAGTACGTAGTCCACCACTTCATTGTTTTTTCAATTTCCATCAATATTATCTCTTATTCTCAATAATATTTAGATATGATTTGTGTTTTACATCCCAAAGTATGATCATAGAAACTGATTTTGGTTAGTTAGTAAACATATGAGTGTATTTCTACATATGAATGTGCGTGATGAAAGTGATGATCGATATATATTAAATAGTTTGTGAAAAAAATCTGAAGTAACTAAATATTCTTGTTTGCATACAATGTGTTTGACAAAACTCCTTAAAGAATTGAGAAGCCTAACATCAGTGAGTTGTATGGAAGAAATGTCATCAGAATATTTTAGTTTTTAGTTTGAAGTTGTTTTAGCCTTACACTATTACACTATTAGAATATATTTTTGAGTTCATTTATATCAAATTGCAACTCTAATTCAATAAGGAAATATGATTAATGTATAATTTTTTTACATATCCCAAAACTGATTTGCTTTGTTTACTTATAGATATTGGTATGACTTGGGAGAGGGAAAATCAGCTTTCCGAGTTGGCGCCTAATCGGCGACTAGTCGGCCTAGGCGCTAGGCGGTGCTTGACCGCCCGACTAGCGTCTAGCGAGTTTTAGAACATTGGATGACAATATGGCTAGGTAAAGTGAATTATCCAAGCATATACGGAGTATAAGTTACAGAAATAGAAAATCTTTTTCAAAACACAAGAGTGCACTTTTATCTATAAACGACTCACTTTGTAATATAAACATTTGCACATTATTTTGACACGGTCTCTTTTGATTAGAAATTCTTCTAATCCATCCACTCTCAAGTGATTGAAGGCCAAGATTTATTCTAATTTTTTCATGGGAGGACTACTTTCAACTTTAACCCCTCCCCTATATTTATATGTGTGTAAGGGAAAAAGGGAAGGAAGACTTACACCAACAATAGGATTTGCTGGCTTCACACGCAAAGCTGGGGATGTCAATATTACTCCCTCCAACATTTTTTCGATAAATGAGTGAGAAGCAGCCTATACGAAGGCAGAACAAAAGATTGTGAATAATACGAGCATAAAAAGCCAAAGAGGAGTAAATTAGACTACATATTTTGAAGATAATCTCACCTTTAGAACAATAGCTCCTCCAGTAGAATGTCCAAAAAGAAAGCAGGGTACCCTGGGGTTTTCCTGCTTGACCTTTTCCAAAAATGCCCCCTTTTAAACATGACAAGGCAAAGATCAACTTCATTACAACAGGGAGAAATTAAAGAGGATAAAAATATACATAGACACGTAGTGAAAGTTCAGAACCAAATTACAAAATAAAATTTAAAAAACGAAGCGGACAATGCTATGGCAATTTGTTTTAAAATTTTATATTTGTTTTCAAATGTTACATCTGCCTACATTTGTTTACTAAATTAACCCCTGATATAATTCACCTGGCTCCGCACACTCGCACAGTCCCTGCCTGGGCCCTTGGCTACAGATTCCAGTCTGCCACACGCCTATAGCTCCCGTGGTATCCAGTTTTGGCATACATTGCTTACCAGCAGCATAACCAGAATAAGCAGGATATGTAGTACCTTTTGACTAACTAATTTGGCTTAAATAGGAATTACCAAACACTTTACCAAGCCATACAACTCTTACCAAACGGGTCATAAAAAATAAATGGGCTGAGAAAAAACTTACTGTATCTTTAACCACATTATCCAAGGAAGGTACATAACCGTGCAGCCCATCACTACCACCATGCCCTGTTCACGTGATAGGTTTTTTATTACTTCTTCACAAGAGAAGCTCACAGAGTGCCAAGAACTATCACCATTAAAAATTATTTAACCAATGCTACATTAAACTTAAATCGATACAGGACTGGAAATACAT